AACTGTTAAAAAGCAACAGCTCATCAAAGAGGGCGAGCTCCAACAGATGGGGCTCAGATGGTGCAGTCAATATTTAGCTCACAGCTCATTTCAAGCAGTTTCAAACAGACAAATCTATTCTGCCCCTTGATCTGCCCTCTCACTGGTGACAACGACACATTTGAATTCTGACAAACTCCAACCATGATGATGGTGAGGATGTACAAGTGGGAAGGTATTCTTCACCTTTGTCGTGGTGGTGCCAGCCACCACTGTAATACTCCTGAAGCACTTGAGGACGCTTCCACGTGTCTAACAGGAAGTCCACCTGATGCTGTTTCCTCCAGGTGAGAGACTGCCACAGGAGCTCTCTGGCCTTGTCCAGGTTGAAATCTCTGGCTCTCAGGAAACGCAGCACATGCTGATCCTTTGGAATCTGCAGACACCAGGCAGAAACATCTTACAGAAAAGCTTGAGTTTAAGTGCAGCAAACCCTTTCACTAATCTTCCTGCTTCTGAAATTCCCATTCCCTTTTTCTGCTCTAAAATAATTCACTGAATGTTAAACTGTTTTAATGAGATATCAGGAGACATCAGTGAGGCTAGATAAGGTTTCAGGAAAAAAAATATATGCATAATCTCATCATCACACAAATTGCTTTACTGAGTTTCAGTAAACTGTGTTGGTGTGTATGTGACCTTGCCCTTGAGGGTTTCCTGGAGCCACTGGCGCAGTCGGATAAGACAGCTCTCCTGCAGAGGCGTTAAATCGCCAAGGTAACGCCTGATGTAGTCAGCATCCAACTTGTCTTTAGGCAAAAGAACATGTACCGTGTAAAACAAATACATTTAGCAACTTAGCAGTGCAACTGGGCTTTAAAAATCAACACTGTGAATGAAACATTAGTTTAAATTATACAGCTGCACTTAGTGAAAAATATCAGCAATTCTGTTATTTCATTCTGACTTTGTTGAACAAATAAAATAAAAATCACTGACCGTCTGGTGAACCAGCCACTGCCTCAGTGGGACAGAGTGGGTCTTTGCAGGACGCTTTGTCCTTCACACTGTTCCCTGGGACGTCTTTGGGAAGAGAGGTAGGCATCAGTGAAAGCTTGGCATCAGTCGTGCCAATGAGCGCAGGAGGGTTTGGTTCCCAACGAGGTATGAATGTTACTCCTTCTTCTTCCAACTCTCTAAGGTAGTGCTCAATGATTTCCTTGCCCTACAACATAAGAAGGAATTCATGAAATGATTAAGGCTTTGAACAGATTTAATGAATTAAGGATTTATTTCTGATTAATCAGTAAAAATAAATTGAAGAGTTCTTGTTTTACCAGTCTGGTGTTGTATACATCACCAAGTCACGAACCTTTTTTATGCTAGCAGCGTACTGTTTCATTGCGATCTTCTCTGCTGAGCTCTCAAAGCCAAAGAAGGACTTGATGTCCAGACTAGCTGTCTGCTCAAAACAAGTCCAGTCCTCGTTCTCTGGATGAACCTTTAAATAGTCAGAGAAAATACCATTACATTTGTAATACTACACCATTACAACTAAAATGACTGGTGAAAAAGTTTAATTAAACACAGTGATATGCAATGTACTGCAGTACAACCCTACGGGGCTGTAGTGTTTACTGCTGAGTAAAGTAGTTTAGTGCTGCTTCTGTCACACCTCTCGCATGACTGTCTGCTGACGAAGACGTTGCAGGATTACTGTAGTTCATTTCAGACTGAAAAGTCTAAGAAAATGACTTCACATTAAAACATACCTTGTTATAAAATAGAATTTTTAACACTTTTTTGAGTCAGGAATGGGACTACAGCTCCATAGAGGTGTGCAGCTTTGTGCAATATTTAGCCGAGAAGTTCTCTGTGATTGACCAATCATCTTGACACATTGGTGTAAACGTATAGTTCTTCAATAATTAAAAATATAAACATTACATGATGGTTTTATAGATTCATGAAATTGGAAAAAACAAAATCAGACATGATACTTTTCTAAACAATTAAAAAATGAACAGCTGTTGATGTGACAAGGCATGAAAAATATCCGGTACTGAACAGTTGGAACAAACAAAATATTTACTAGATTTCCAAAGCACAGCTTTTTTTTGCTGTCGACGACCTCTGTACCATCAACAAAACACTAACCACAGTCACAACATCAATAAAGGATTCCACAAGATCTATATACAACCAAAGTGCAGACAATTAACATGTTAATGGTTCTTTTTCTCACAACTGTGGGCAAATCTGGGACTCACCGTGTATTTGCAGTTCTCCCTGACTATGACTCGGTTGGAGAAAGTCTCATTGTAGACTTCGATGTGAAGTGTCCTGTCTCTCCGGTTTAGAGCGTTTTTTTGTAAAAAGTATAAATAGTCCACGCCAGCAATCTACATAGAAATATGTCAGTAAATATACTGTGCAAAATGATTGGAATCAACACATATATAAAAACCTAGCTAAGAAACATATTTGTGGTGTCACAGATGGTAGAAATCTAGTCACGTAATTCAAACAAACTGTCATAAAACGCAGCACCTAAGCACCCTTTTAAGGACAGTAAGAGCAACTGGACGGAGCAATCACCCTTTTAAGCAGCCGCGGAGCATCAATGTCTATTGTGCAGCGCCGTTCAGTGACGAGCCTGGATCCATCTTCGCTCTGCTCCTCTCTGACAATCTCACTGTCCACAAACACTGGGATCAGAGGGCACTTTGGGAATCTCCTTAGGTAAGCCTAAAAAATAAGACATCCAATAAAAGACAAGAACAAAAGAAAACAGTGATATATTTTAATCATAATGTTTCATCTTGGCAGCGTTGTTCTCTCTGACTGTGTCAAGACATATCCGGTGTCCATAATGAGGCAGCTCTGTGGTTGAGCATAAATGCTATTTTAATGGAGCAGCCAAAGGTCATCTCTATTATTTCCAATAAGCTTATGCTGTAATGAGTGGGTTATGATCTAAATAAAGCTGAATGCAGAAAATGATCTCCGTGTCAGGATGTGAAACATTTGCCGATTGTGTTCGCTTCAACGATTTACACTAATAGCGCACTAACGCTGCATCGTTGCCAGCTTTTATGGCAGGTTTACCTAATGTTTAATTGTAGACAGCCAACCATAAGCCTGGCCATCTGGACATGTCAACATTGACTCATTCATTTAACATACTTTTCTGACTGTATAAGTGTAGTCCCCTGTCACTGTGTTATTAGCAAAGTAAATGAGTATGAGGCCGACATTAGACACATTTTAACATCCCAAAAGGGGAGAAATAAATCCAATATTCTCCAGATAATATCAGATGCAGATGGGGAAAAAATGCAGTCTGTATATATTGCCCAAGTCTTTGGATTAATATGTAACTTTAAACCAGCAGCAGACTGTGGAAGTGAGAGAACTGTCTACCTCTAATGTAAATATACAAACTGTCCTACTTTGGGTCCTGTTACACAAATGATCTACTTTATACTGTAGTTTTTCAACAGTTGGTGAAGTGCACACTCCAACTTTATAACCAAATATAGGTCTTATTTAGAAACAAAAATACCCACAAAAATGAAAAGCACTCTGCACAACTTGCTAAAAGCTAATTGAAATAACTACCACATTTGCAAATGCTCCAAAAAATAACCTGAAAGATAAAAACATTTGTTCATTTGGATTTCTCTGACGTACTGCAACGCACTGTCTAAAAAAAAATCATTTATTACAAATATAGGGGAAAAAAGTGGAAATCATGTTCTAAAGTATCTACTTTAATAACAAACAGGGTCATTTGGGCCCCGGAGGCTCCACAAGAGTTATGTAACATCCTGCGATGATAACGTCCATGTCCACCGTCTTATGTCATTACTTATTAGATAAGAGAAAACACAGCTGTGGCACTAATGATTGTAACCACGACACTCACCGCCATTATTAACTCAAACGGATGTTTGTAGACCCGAACTGGAGACTGGTACTCCTGCACCATGGTTCAAGTGTTGTCACGAGCAAAGCCACACAGAAAACTGTAAAATAAAACAGCAGATAAGGACATAAACTTTAAGAGCCGAGACGACAGCGTCCCTGCCGTAAAGTAGTTTAGAGAAAGAGCGACAGTCGTATGACTCCGCTTTAAAGTTAAACTACTTTAGACAGTAAAGGTTGGGAATATATGGATAATTCTAGAAGTCGTGTACTTATAAACCTTAACAAGAAAACATAAAAGTCGAGAAGCCTAAAGAAGTCGATATAGTGTTTTTAATTAGCAGAACGCTATAAAAAAAACATGGCTTCAAAAATGAATCAAAAGAGAAGACTTACAACAGCAGCGACAGACTCTTTAAAACGGGAAGATACGTTTATTCGTCAGTAAAGCAGCAGCATTTTTTCCTCCATGGTGACTGTCAGCTAAAAGAACAAGCTTGCATTGTCAAATAAAAAGGGAATAAAAAAGTACATACAGTCCGTTGGTGTCAACAGTATGCTGTCACCGTAATAAAACCGAAGAAAAAAAAAGACCGTAAACTCCGCCCAACAGGAAGTCGCCGTGCGCGTCACTCTAAAAACAAAAGTTTTTTTATCTTTATTTTCCATTTTAGTTGTTCATTAACTTAAAACTTTTTTCTGTAACTTTTCAGATGTATCAAATTTTAACATTATTTATGTAACTATTCGCAAGGAATATTTTTAAGGGTAGGGATTTGTTTTATGACATCAAAGTTTTATAATACAGCATTTTTAGAGTAGTAATGAATTGGTGTCAATGAGCAAACTCATTGTCTTTATCTTTTCTGCACGAATAACCTGGTTACTTAGATGTCTAATTGTTTTCAGTATTTAAACCTGTTGCCACCACCTCCTGCAGGGGAGATCAAGTATTCCACATTTATTTAAATACTTTTATTCAACAAGTATTTAAATAAGGCAACAAGGAACCTTGAAATGCATTCATAAATCTATGACTATGGGAGTGTGCTCTCAAAACTATTTAATACCATCAATGTCTTATTACAAGCAATATAAGAATGACAATGTAATTTTTTTTTAACAATCAAACTTAATCACAAAAGTACTTACATTTAAATATACTTACCTGACATTAAAGAGGCTCCCAAATGAAATAAAAAGTTAACTCTGCACCCTTTGTACCACATTCTGCTTTGCACACATCAAAAGTAGACAAAATTCCACACAACATGGGTCATAGCACCCTGATCAAAAACAAAATTCAAAAGCTAAGAATTATGGATATTCAAAACAGAACTACCCAGTGACCTTTGGGCAAACTGTGGCCTTGCAGTTTGTTGTGGATGAGGCTTTTAATGCTGTTTTGATTCCCGTCCTTGGCAGAACTGTAACGCAGTTAGCACTAACAGGGTACCAGAAATAAACAAGACAAAGAACCTTAGGATCTGACATGCTTGACTTTATACTCCTTCACCAGGGGGTGGGGCACATTCTGAACAGGTTACCATTCCAGTCCATGTAAAGTCAAACAAGCATTCAAGTTCATCTTCACAGTTTTGATCAATGTCAAGTCAACCTAAACTCTATTCTATTATTTAATTGTGGGAAGAACAAATATAAACTGAAAATCAAAAAACAAAAAAAAACCCACACATTTAGAAGGTACATCAGACTGAACCAGTATGTAAACCATTGGCTCTCAGTCCCAACCATCATGTCACGACGATGCCCTCATTATGAATAGTGGCTCTGTATATTTTGATGCACCCACACACTGTGTTACAGCATAAAGGTCATTCTGCAAAGACCAACCATGTGCAGCCCATTAGCGATGCAGCTGCTGGAGGATCCACATAGAGATTTAATTTATTAGGTAGGAATAAGGACAGGTCAGCAGAGGATGTGATGCAATGTAATGGATGAAGACTCAAAATGCTAAATACTACAGGTTTTTTTCCTACTTATGCTCCAATAAAGATAATCCATGACATATAATTTCATGACTATTCACATGCTGTTAGCAAAGCTGTCGGCGGCCACTTGAGACAGCCCAGGACTCCACAGCCCTGGGATCAATCCCTGATCTAACCTATAAACACAACCCACTCTGCAGCTGTCTCAGACACCATGACTGATTTGTTTGTTTCGCACTTTCTGCAGACCAGCTTCAATGAGGCTGTTGTTCACAGAATGTCCACATGAGGTCCTCGGTCCTTCACTAATCTTTGGGGGACAAAGAAAGTTTATTAAAAATAACAGTATAATGTATGAGTCATGCAGATAGATAGATGTATAGACAGACAGATAGACAGACAGACAGACAGACAGAGAGACAGACAGAGAGACAGACAGACAGACAGAGAGACAGACAGACAGACAGACAGACAGACAGATAGATAGATAGATAGATAGATAGATAGATAGATAGATAGATAGATAGATAGATAGATAGATAGATAGATAAAAAGATAAAATGCAACAAATACAATAAGAAGGTTTTAATTAAGTATGTGCAGATTTTATGATTTGAATGAACAGCATAGAATTTATCTGAACTACTGCAAAAAAACTGAGATATTCTTACTGTGGTTTTTTTTATTATTTCAGCAGCAATCTTTTTGTTTTTTTGTCCCTGTCTTTCTCCACCCCCATACTTTTTGGTTCTGTGCACTTACGAATATAAAAAAAAAAAACAAACGCAAAAACGAAAGGCAAAGGAACAAGAGGTGAGTTTTTATGCTTCACTGATGAGCAAGGATTCCTGTTTTGCCTTAATTAGAGACCGACTGAACAGGGTGCAGATTCCTATCATCTAAATATAAAATATAACAAATTGTGCTGAAACCACAGGTAAAGGGAAAGAAGGTAACATGATTAATTTTCCTACAAAAAGTTCTAAGTAAAATCTGGGCAAAAAACCCCAAACTACATTGTTTTTGTTCAACCCTTATAGAGAGAACTTGTGGTGTTGCGTTGCATCGAAGGCGAGCTTACCTACTTGAAATCACCTACTTGTTATTGTCACATTGAAGGTTGTTTTTTTTTTGTTGTTGTTATTTTTCAGAGTGCACATTCAGCCTTACACTCAGTGTTGTGATTACCGTCGGGAACAACTACGGTACGACAACCCTCAAATACAGGTTAATGAAATACAGACAAGCTATTCCCCGTGTAAAACCCTGGCATCAACCGGTGACAGTTTCTGCTTCACGCTTGAAGAATGGGGATTTGAAGCGGTATTCAGGATATGACATGTGATAATAAACACCTGTCATTGTTTTTTTTTTGGGGGGGGGGTATTTGTTCACTGTCCGTCTGTTCAAGGGAGCATCAGTCAAGGCTACAGCAGGAAGCTGAAAAGAGAAAATGTAATATAAAGTCAGGTAGAAAAGATAATTCTGCATACATTCTAGAGGTTTAATGAGGGGTTTAAATTATGCTGGCTAATGGTCTTTGTCTATTTAAATATTCAGATTACAGATTATATTATACTAATATGCAGGTTGCAGTCCATTGCTGGGATGTGTTATTGTAAGGAAACCTGTGTTTGTGTCACACAGATCCAGCAAGGTACTGGAATCATTCCTTACAGATCTTCATTCACATGGACACACTACCATCAGACAGTGGACTGCAGGTCTGTGGCCTCTGTACTATCCTTATCCTGATCCACCACATAATGAAAATAAAGGATTGGACTGGGATTCGGTGACTGTACACTGAAGAGGAGGAAGTGTGGTCACAGAGAGATGGAAATGCCATGTCTTTTCAGATGATATGCAAGTGTTGATTCATGTACCTAATAGAGTGGCCGTTTGTGTACCCTTCCTTGTTCCCTGTGTATTAATCTTGATTTTCTTGTTATTTTTTCTGTGCCCGTGTTCCAGCTCTGCTGCCCTGCCCTCTAGTGTTTCACCTTTGTTATATTACTTTCTCTTGTCACATTTTCAGTGGTGTCATGTTTTCCCCCACTCTACTGTATACAGTCTCTGGATCCTCTGCATCTATATTTTCTTCACCCTTATGCTCCTTTCCCTTCTAGTGTTGCTTTTTTTGCTTTTTTTTTTATCACCCTACCTTGCCTTTTGGATTTTGATTTCATCCATCACTGGATTTTATTGAAAGATTACTATTTCTTTTGTACCATATCTGCACCAAACCCATACATCACCATATGTCTGACACATTTATGTCTACAGACCCAGAGTTCTTAAAGCGTTCAACTTTATGTAAAGTCTTGTCCTTTTGTATAAATGTTGATTGTTACTGTAGGGCCGTTAGAATAAATAGGTTGGATAAACTGTTGGTGTCGGTCCCAGGGTTGATGTGGCGAGCAGACAGCTGCAGACATCACTGATGTTTGTAGGCCGTAGAACTGCACTCAGTTCTTTCTCAGGAGTAATAATGATCTGGGTTCGACTAATTAGGAAATCCATAACGTGTTAGTGTTCTTTTATCAAGACTGATTGCAGCAGTAGGAATCTCAGGCCTGGTATGACAAATGACTCTTTCTCCGATTTCACTTTGATAAATGCCTTCTGTGCCCTTTCATATTCAAATAAGAAAGATGCTGGAGGTAAGAGACTCTGGGCGGCTGTGGTAAGAAGAACAAACTGTGTCGCTGTGAGTTTGACGGAGAGTTTTGAAACATAAATATCATCTCATGATTATGATTAATGGTAATTAATCACGATTATTTGATTATTCGTGATTCATATTGATTAATCATGATTAATGGTGATTAATCCATAGCAACACTAATCGTTTCACAGCCCTTGTGTCGATTTTCTTTGTACCACTGGTTTGTGTGTCGGTCATGATGCTACAATCACCCGAGTTCAGGCGTTACATTCCAGGCTGTTGCTGTGCCTCCTTTGTGGACCATAAAGTTGGCAGGCGCCCACAGGAGAGTCAATAAAGAGCCAGCACTTTGCCCAGAGACAGTGCAGCATCAAGTCCAGACCTTTCAGTGTCTCGGTTTTTTTTTTTTTTTTTGTGCCTATAGGTTTTCTATCGACCCTGGTCTTTGTGTGAGACAGACTGTCATTCCAACCCACAGGAGAGAGAGCACACAAGGAAACAAAACAACCCTGGGAAATGTTTTTGAATGTTTCCTTAAAACAACAATTTGACAAATTATTGCATGCAATTTTTTAAACCACAGATTCAAATTTTCACTGCTTAATTCTCTATTCGTTAGTTTAGTACTAATGTAATGTAGGGCCATGTTGACAAAGGTGACGATTATGTGTCATTCTGACTCATTTGTTCAGCCGGACGCCACTGAAGTGGCGTGCAGACCTCACCGCACACACACGCACACACACTCCATTCATTTTAATGTCACTTTGACTTTCAAAAAGAATAATTACAGAGCTATTGTGAACATCGACCAGTCTGAGAAATTATTCTGTGTAATTACACTGTCAACCTGTATGAAAATGACTTGCATGTGGCTTAAGTGATTTTAAAAGGCAACTCCTGCAGATGCTGTAATTGGATTTCCCAAAATAGTTAGAAAACGGCGTAGGAGAAGATTGACAATC